TATATAACATTACTAGATCCTCAGGTCCAAGCATAAGATACTACGTTGAGTGGTCTGCTTATAATTAGAAAGATGAGTGGCTATTCAGTGAATAGTTTGTTGATGTTCAACAAGCAACTGTGTCTAAGATGATGTCAGCATAACTAACTGAAAGATAACATTAGCAAAGTTGGGTGCGACGAACATCACTCATAATGAAGATGTATGTAGTTCAATATGAGGCGGCATGCCAACTGAGTAGTCCCTGGCACAGCTAGCAATGCCATATTGCCATATAAGAGTTCATTTGTAATAAACAAAGCCAAGAAAAGCAGAATCATTGCTCAATAGGAACTTTTCAGATAATCACTATTATTTTTCTTGTAGTTTGGAAAAAGTAAACTTTTGATTTAGTGCCGTAGGCTGTTCACCATATTTCACCCCAAATGTAGACATTGCTAAAGTTATGGTTAGCTAGATTACATTCTGAACTGATTTATTATAGCACTGGATCTTATAGAGCAGTGCTCACTTGCGTATACCATTGCATTTGCTTCCTCCAGAAGAACTCCAGGTTCATAAAAATAACCCTTGCAATGGGGCTACCCCCGCACTGCAAGGGTTAAACAATTGTTTTGGTCTAGGGGCCGGAATAAAGCAGCTATATTTTCCTGATCCTCGGTCCTGCACCAGCCAGCGCTTTTTCTCTCCCCCTCCACACCAGCTATGTCCTTTGGAGTCTTCCCATCTAAGTCAATGGACCCGCATTAGACATGATGACGTCAGGAGTCCTTAGACTGCCGAAGGCCGGGGAAGAAGAGGCTGTGGGGACCGGACTTGCAGCCAGGCGTGACTGACGATCAGGTGAGTATATTTTCTTTATTTGCACCCTATATTTAAATGAGCAGTTAAAGGAAAACTATGAGCTGAGTGATTTACACGTTATCCTCATAGTTAGAGCCAACCTGTGACAAAGAAGCTGTCACAGGTCAGCTCTATCGATCGGGAAGTGAGCAGATACATGCACGATCTGCTCACTTTTCGATTGTCTCCCTGCAGTGAGTGGTGACTGTCAGTCACCACTCCCCGCAGGGATCCCCTCTCCGATCCTCCAGTGCTGAGTGGAGGAATGGACGGGGGAGAGGGCGGGCACAGCTGGCCTCTAAATAGGCAGAGCCAGCTGGTTGGATCTCAGCAGTAATGTCAGGATCCATCCCGGCTGCGGCGCTCACAGAATATCGTGGGCAATAGCTGTAACGCCTGTATGGACTGATGTAGTGTGGATCGCAGCTGCGGAGGCTTTTCAGGTATGGAACCCTGGTTTCACTCTCTCAGTTTTAACAGAGAGTTAGGGTTCCTCGCATCACAGCCTCAGGTTAAATAATAAGGTAACGGAAAAGGTTCAACTACACAAACTAGGGTTGAGGAGTGGTGGTAAATGATAAATGGCCAATGTGACTGCAGGAGTCCACAGATATGCACAATCTGAAGCAAGTATAAACCCCCCCTAGCAGCTTAAGCCTATGCGGGCGATATTTTAACAGTCCAGATGACAAGAGGGTGCAACTGCACTCAGTACTTGCGATTTGTGAAAAACTGGCTCAATGGGAGAAGCAGGGGTTCCTCGGTGGTTTCCGGATCCGGTGAATGTTGGAGGGCACAATCTGGAGGCAAGTGGAGGGTCCCAGGAGACAGCAGGCGTTTCTGCTCAATTCAGGAACGCCATGCTGTCTCAACTGGCCGTTTAAATAGGCCTCCGTTTGACAGGAGGAGCCGAGCGACCTCTCGGCGCACTTCCGCATTCCACGGTGGAACGCACGCGGTCCCGAAACCCGGAAGTGAGGAGCGTGCGCTCCACCCTGGAACGCAATCGGCCCAGCGAAGGAGCGGCTGGCTGCCGCTTCCTCCTCCCCTGCCCGCAGGTGACGGCGGCGGCCGTTACAATACTACGTTGAGTGGTCTGCTTATAATTAGAAAGATGAGTGGCTATTCAGTGAATAGTTTGTTGATGTTCAACAAGCAACTGTGTCTAAGATGATGTCAGCATAACTAACTGAAAGATAACATTAGCAAAGTTGGGTGCGACGAACATCACTCATAATGAAGATGTATGTAGTTCAATATGAGGCGGCATGCCAACTGAGTAGTCCCTGGCACAGCTAGCAATGCCATATTGCCATATAAGAGTTCATTTGTAATAAACAAAGCCAAGAAAAGCAGAATCATTGCTCAATAGGAACTTTTCAGATAATCACTATTATTTTTCTTGTAGTTTGGAAAAAGTAAACTTTTGATTTAGTGCCGTAGGCTGTTCACCATATTTCACCCCAAATGTAGACATTGCTAAAGTTATGGTTAGCTAGATTACATTCTGAACTGATTTATTATAGCACTGGATCTTATAGAGCAGTGCTCACTTGCGTATACCATTGCATTTGCTTCCTCCAGAAGAACTCCAGGTTCATAAAAATAACCCTTGCAATGGGGCTACCCCCGCACTGCAAGGGTTAAACAATTGTTTTGGTCTAGGGGCCGGAATAAAGCAGCTATATTTTCCTGATCCTCGGTCCTGCACCAGCCAGCGCTTTTTCTCTCCCCCTCCACACCAGCTATGTCCTTTGGAGTCTTCCCATCTAAGTCAATGGACCCGCATTAGACATGATGACGTCAGGAGTCCTTAGACTGCCGAAGGCCGGGGAAGAAGAGGCTGTGGGGACCGGACTTGCAGCCAGGCGTGACTGACGATCAGGTGAGTATATTTTCTTTATTTGCACCCTATATTTAAATGAGCAGTTAAAGGAAAACTATGAGCTGAGTGATTTACACGTTATCCTCATAGTTAGAGCCAACCTGTGACAAAGAAGCTGTCACAGGTCAGCTCTATCGATCGGGAAGTGAGCAGATACATGCACGATCTGCTCACTTTTCGATTGTCTCCCTGCAGTGAGTGGTGACTGTCAGTCACCACTCCCCGCAGGGATCCCCTCTCCGATCCTCCAGTGCTGAGTGGAGGAATGGACGGGGGAGAGGGCGGGCACAGCTGGCCTCTAAATAGGCAGAGCCAGCTGGTTGGATCTCAGCAGTAATGTCAGGATCCATCCCGGCTGCGGCGCTCACAGAATATCGTGGGCAATAGCTGTAACGCCTGTATGGACTGATGTAGTGTGGATCGCAGCTGCGGAGGCTTTTCAGGTATGGAACCCTGGTTTCACTCTCTCAGTTTTAACAGAGAGTTAGGGTTCCTCGCATCACAGCCTCAGGTTAAATAATAAGGTAACGGAAAAGGTTCAACTACACAAACTAGGGTTGAGGAGTGGTGGTAAATGATAAATGGCCAATGTGAATGCAGGAGTCCACAGATATGCACAACTGAAGCGAGTATAAACCCCCCCTAGCAGCTTAAGCCTATGCAGGCGATACTTTAACAGTCCAGATGACAATAGGGTGCAACTGCACTCAGAGTACTTGCGATTCGTGAAAACTGGCTCAATGGGAGAAGCAGGGGTTCCTCGGTGGTTTCCGGATCCGGTGAATGTTGGAGGGCACAATCTGGAGGCAAGTGGAGGGTCCCAGGAGACAGCAGGCGTTTCTGCTCAATTCAGGAACGCCATGCTGTCTCAACTGGCCGTTTAAATAGGCCTCCGTTTGACAGGAGGAGCCGAGCGACCTCTCGGCGCACTTCCGCGTTCCACGGTGGAACGCACGCGGTCCCGAAACCCGGAAGTGAGGAGCGTGCGCTCCACCCTGGAACGCAATCGGCCCAGCGAAGGAGCGGCTGGCTGCCGCTTCCTCCTCCCCTGCCCGCAGGTGACGGCGGCGGCCGTTACAATAGCTCACTATATACTGAGCTTTGGGTCACGGGAAGACGCTAGTATATGTCCTCCCGTGACCCTAAAGAGAACTATGGGGAAAAACACTTACCCCATAGTTCTCTTTTAACCGTTTCAGTGAGGGGCTAGCCCCTCTGCAAGGATTATTTTTTTTTAAATCCTGGAGCTTTTCGTGAAACTTTTGGGAAACGCAGCATTGCCCGTGTGAGGTGTCTGAACTGCTTTTTTGCTCCATGCAAATACATGTGTATGCAAACAAAAGCAAGTCAGATGCAACTCAAACTGATCTCAAGCCTTAAAAGCCATTTTCTATTAAAAATACCTATACAAATACCTAAAAGCATGCTGAGAATGACTTGCTTCTTAGTCAGACACCCATTTATGCAAACTCTAAATTGTATAAAAAGACAAAAATATATTTTTTTAAGAGTTGGGAAGGGTTAAAATCCCTGTTGTTTTTATATTGCCATCTGTGTTTCCACTGAGAGGGATATACCCTTTCTTTTTGTGTTGGTGACTAGGGTCACTGGTAGTGAAAGCGAGGGACAATAAAACATTTTGAGTTGTCACCAGAACTGGATTAGAGGGGAAATCATTCAATGAGAATACTGGTTTGGGTGACAAATGTCTTGTGTGTGAGAAAGGAATTCTCCTCAATTGGGCACAGACTTAAAAAAAAAACACCTTTACAGGGTTTTAACTCTTCCCTACTCTATCCAAAACTAAAAAAAAAAGAAAAACTGTTGGCTTTAGATTAATTTAAGGGTCCTATTGCAATATTTTAACTGTTTATTTTTAATACATGTAATGCTAGGATTTAACATGCTTCTTTTTATTTCACATGCCCTCATTTACATTTTTCTCTACACGTATATCCAGGCCAAGGTGTCCAGCAAAAGTGTCAATGACGGCGGTAAGGACAAACTATAAAATTGCTAAGGGTACTTGGTACAGATACAGCAACAGATTATTTTATGAAGATTTCGCCTTGCTACTAAAAGCTGGTATTAAAAAATACTGAAGGTTGTGGGGGAGAGAATTGTACGTATTCGCGACCAATCCAGTTCTACAACACATAGTTCATACTGTATGATGTAGGAATTCATTCATGAACACACAGTCACTTTATACTGGCCACACCCCTCCCTGATGATTTGGTTTCTGAGGTCCTTTTTTATTTTTCCCCTACAGGTCATAATAGAGGAGCTGGAGACTGAGAAAAAGACTATTACTATAAACATTACAGAACGACTAAGGGATTATCATGACCTCATGCAAGCAAAGACCGGACTCAGCCTTGAAGTGGCAGCGTACAGGTAATGTGCTATAGGAATATAATAAACTGCAATCAAGGGGAATCTCTTTTGCACCCCTGATTCTCGTGTGCCCTTTTTTTTCTAAAGAAAAAAATTAAAATAATTAATAGGAATATACGAGTCAAAAATTATCTGCACTCTGGCTGTGGAATTTATTTAAATCAACTTTTAGAAAAGTCAAATACATACCCTGTTTCCCTGAAAATAAGACCTACCCCGAAAATAAGACCTAGTACTATTTTTGGGAATTGCTAAAATATAAGAGCTACCCCGAAAATAAGACCTAGTTGTGACCATTCCCAGGGCTGATGGTGGCATAAGGGGAACTTGAAGAGCTGCAGGAGAGGCGGGAGAGAATCAGTGGTGCCAACAAAGCCAGCGCTAGAGGAAGCGAGGCGGCACCGTAGGGAGCAGAGCCGCATACGCCAATGCAGAAGAGAGAGGGGAGGGTTGGGTCTGAGAAAGTGGTATTCAGTGGACAATGGGGGACAGTCCTTAGGGGGAGTTGTTAGCAAGTGAATGAGAGGTGGCTCAGTATAAGGTAGTGATATCAGTGATACTTGTAAAGTAAGTCCAGCAGGCCCATAATTTTCTGAAGCTATCTAGTGTGTCTCGTTTAGTGGCTAAGAGCTCTTCCATTTCGTAGACGTGGCCTACCTGAACAAACCATTCGCGTATTGTGGGTGCTTTGTCAGTTTTCCAGTGGCGGGGTATGATGGTGCGCGCTGCGTTAATAAGATGTCTGTGTAGTGATTTAAAGGCGCTCATTGGCTTTTCAGGTTCCCAGTGGACAAGAGAATATGTGAGGGTAAAGGGAGGTGTAGATCCTGTGATCTTGTGAATAGCGTCGTGTGATCACCCTATTCTTAACTTTGCCATTTTGGATTATTTAATTTGGATTTGCATTAACTTCGGATTGATTTTACATTAGAAAAAAAATAAGACCGACCCCCGAAATTAAGACCTAGAGTGTTTTTTGAGCCAAAAAAATATATAAGACAGTGTCTTATTTTCGGGGAAACACGGTAATTGTTTACATAATCTGCTTGCTTTTCAATACACTTTGTCCACCTGTCAACAAGCTTTCGTATTCCCTCATTAAAAAATGTTTTGGGCTGAGCTGCGAGCCACGGATGCACCACTGTCTTCACTTCTTCATCAGAGGCGAATCTTCATCCTCGTAGGGCTGCCTTCTGTTTTGCAAATGATTTGCCACATAATCTACTCACTCGTCTATTCGACAGAATCATTTCACGTGTATGCTCAATGTTGTCATCAGCCGTGGACGTGGACAGGCGCCTGGCTCCTTCTTGATGGCTAACACTTGTGCGACCTTCCTTGAACTTCTCTATTCATTCATACACACATCTTCACGACAAAACACTTTCTCCATACTGCGCACAATGTCTTTGATAAATAACAGCACCAGGCAGACCCTCAGACCACAAGAAACTAATCACTGCACGCTGCTCTTGTTTCGTGCAAATCACTATTGGGGAATCCAATGAACAGATCCTTGAACAGAAAGCGCTGATAAGACAGTGAACATGATGAATGGAGCATATCATGAATGCACAGCCCAACTCAAGGTTGCCACACAAGCATTGCAGCACTGGAGCACATGAGTACAACAGTTGGCCATATAAAATTCGACTTTCACCCGTGTGAAAAGGCTAGTGTGTAATGGCTCAATATCAATGATCATAAATTGACATACCGTATATACTCGAGTATAAGCCGAGATTTTCAGCCCATTGTTTTTGCTGAAAAGTGCCCCCCCTCGGCTTATACTCGAGTCAGCGTCATTTCTTCTTACTTACATCCGCAAATGTGGTGAACTATGCGCATGCGCAGTCGTAACTCTGCTGTTAGGCATGGTCTTACATTAGCAGTATATACTACATATAGGGTATATACTGCTAATACACTTCCAACCTCATCTACTGCCCACACTGTTGAATATTTCTTCATTGCCAGAAGTTGATTAGCAATGGAAATAATTTGGAGCCCATGCATGATGATTTTTAACTATTTATTTTGTCTCAAATTACCTTATTAAGCTGTAAAGGTTCCTTATGATGGCATGCTGATTTCTGGACCTGTTTATAAAAAAAAATGCACAGAGTAAGAGTATGCAATTTACCAAGCAGTGTCCACTTGGGGGCTTCCACCTATTCTTGATGTGACTTCCAGCAGCCTTTCTGTAGATATTCACTACCTAAATTAATATTTGCTGTATCTTTGTATTTCCAGTTTGCAAGAAGCCAAACAGCTACCCAATGCATTCAAGTGTATCTCCAGGCAAATTATTTTTTAGCGTAACTCTAGCAATCCTTAATGTGGACTTTCATATACTCCCCAGTGCTCTGATCTCCTTTCGTACCCCACTAATGACCTGTTGATCTTGTCTAAATGCTTAACATCACTTCTTTTTTTTGGGGTGCTGACTAAGCTGCAACAGCATTTTGGATAGCGACGTTGGACTATCTATGCAGTACTCTTATGTGTGTACAAATGTTTTGCTTATTTTAATTTCTTTATTATATATTTTTTATTAAAGAATATCTAAAGCTAAAAAATAATTTTTTATAGCTTTGGGTAAAGTGCCAAATGGTTGACACACTGTCAGTCATTTTTTTGGTGTCCCATTAAGGAAATTTCCCTTTAGCTCCTGTCCCAAAATCAGGAGGTGGGAGTAAATCTCTTCAAGGTGAGGGGATGAGTTCATTTTACCCCTTTTCCAGTGACAATGATCACCAGGGCAAATAGAGAGGTGAAATAGCAATACAAAAATGATGATATTACATTCAACCTGGAAAGAAAAAAATACTAATACTATTCATTGTTGCCCCATTTGCACAGAAGGGGTACATGCAGTTTTGAAGGATGAATGGCTCTGCAAATTTTTATAAATACACCCCTTAGCGTGGGGCCTATGTCCCCTTACAGCCGTGACCTGGTTACGACCACTGCTATCACTACTAAAGCTACTAGAATGCAACCAAGGGCACCCCTAGTGCTTTGGTCACCTGAGGCAGCCAGTGGAGGTGCTCTGGCCGGTATCCCGCCAAGCTCAGTGACATCACTGGTTGCCAGGAGCTCAGTAGGATGTGAGCAAGAACATCCCAGGTTGCTAAAAGCTGGGTGAAGAGATGTGTATGGCCCTTACACATCTCTCTGCCCGACTCTTAGCAAACCGGAGTGCTCTAGTCGGCGTCCCAGCGCCCATGCTGCTCTGTCTGCTGCCCCCCCATGTGACCCAAAGAGAAGCCGCCTGAGGCAACAGCTTCAGGCTGCCTCATTATAGGAATGGCCCTGCATAAAACTTTTCAATGAAATATCCCTGAAGGATTCGTGTGCATTTAACTTCTTTTCAGATTACAAGTTATGATTAAGCAAGCAGTATATAAGGCAATATTTATCATACCCGGCCTGAGGCCACAGTAACGGCTTAATTCCTCTTGGGCAAAAGCTTTTCTTCAAAGAACAAGACTATAAGGAAAGGAAAATATGTGGAGGATATAATTGAATGCATAGAACATAGTCTTCGGATAATACAACCCCTTTAATGTGAAGGAAAGTTTGTGTTATAGATTGTATGGCATGCAGGTCCTCCATGTGAGTGCCTTTATATGGTCACAGAACTTTAATGAATTCAGATATCTTGTAAAGTATGGTGGAGGGCACTCTACACTATTTACAATACACAGCATGCAAATGTCATTGGCAGTCAAAGTTACTGCCAAGCAAGTACAGAACCGATGGATTAAACTTTTTTTTCTCAGTAACAAAATATCCCACCTAAAATAAATCAAGTTCAGGAATAAAGGTAACAGTCAGTTGTTTAAATTCTAATTTATGATGCAGGCAAAGTAAACATTAATATGTCCTTGGTACAGAGAAACTGATGATAGTGTATGCGCGATAAAAAGCCTTTGCAAAGCCAGTGGAGAATGTGTGGTATACTACTGATAAAGATGGTATGGGCAGCTTGTCGTTTAGAGCAGGGGTAACCAAACACTGGTCTTCCAGCTGTGGGTAAACTACAAATGCCATGATGCATCTCTCTCTAGGAGTTGAGTCTGTGAGAATGTTGCGATGCCTCATGGGATTTGTAGTTCCACCAAAGCTGGAGGAACAGTGTTTGGCTCCCCCTGGTTTAGAGAGCCTGTAACTTCTGCGATATTATTATTTATTTATTTTTAAATTGTTTTTATTTGGTTTTCACAGAGTTAAGGTACAACAGTACAACGTACATCGCCTGAGTTCCAACACTCAAGGGCACATCTTACATAACAGTTACAACAACCTTCCTAAGCTGCTTCCGCCCATCCCACCAGTTCCATCCCCGGTGGTCTATTTGGGTTTGAGGAATCCAGAGTCTGGTCTAGGATAGTAATCTCGAGGGCATGCTCCAGCGGAGTTCCAGCACTGTTCCCCCAGCGGTCCGAGCAGCAGAAAAGTCCCCCAACAGGATGAATTAGTCGGATGAATCGAGGTAAGGGCAGCGGAGCTCACTCACACGCGTCCTGTCTCCTTCACATCCCGGCCACGCCCCCCTTCTGCGATATTATTTAAGGTGACATGAGTTTCATCAGATAATATGAAGTATAATTGCAGATTAAAGGAAATCTGTATAGAGGAGCTACAAATCATACCATTGCTGATCTCTTCTTCTGCAAATGCTAGTAACCTGACTGTCATATTTATTCTCTGGCTTCAGTACTTTCTGAGTCACTGTCCTGAATTAACGCCACTTTGACTTTCCTGATCTGCATATTTATTACCTTAGCGACAATTTAGATAGTATTGAAGACAGATGATTAATACAACAGATAGGCAGCTAGAATATTCTTACAGTGTATATAATCTCAAAAGCAGAAATGTAACATATTGCAGTTTACGAATCCTTAGACGTGGTGGCTGCATTTCATTTCTTTTTTTTTTCCACCTGTTGAAGTAAGTATGTTATTTTTTCAGTTTCCTTAAACAGACCAAGCTATCCAGCTAAGGTGGCAGACTGAGGGTTGAGGCTCAACTTTTATTTATGTATGCAAAACTTTTCTAGAGATGAAGCCAGCTGTGCCCGGCCCCTCCCCATCTGTCCCTACAGTCAGTGCCGGAGAAACGAAGATGAGGGGGAAATCCCTGCGGGTAGTGGTAACTGGCAGTGTGATCGCTCAGTTCTCGATCTATAGAGCCGACGTGTGACAGCAAAAGTGTCACACGTCGGCTTTAACTATTAGGATGAGTGTATTCCACTCTTCCCATAATTCCTCTTTAAGGAGGCGAGCAATGACAGCTTCTGTACTTCTCCCAGTCCTTTGTTTCCTAACTGACATAAAAATTTATGGGAGTATAAATGCATTCAACCAGCAAGGGCCACATTTCCATTTTGGGCACCTGTAGGCACGATTGAACATTTGTTTAGCCTGAGCCGGCGCCTTACCTGCTGCGGGACCCATCGGCTTTCACATACGCATAGAAGGATCCCAGCGTTGCGTAAGACTGCCCTAGATGCCTTTCTGCATCAGACAGGTGTTTCACAGGGCAGCCTTACGCAGCGTCAGGGTCCTTCCCCTGCGTTTGTGGAAGCTGGCGGTTCCTGTAGGCACCTCTGGATTTGGAGCAGGAGGGTGCACTTTGTGCAGAATGTACCCTCCTTGCTATTATCTTGACACAACACTGGGAATTAGGCAGAGTAGGTAACTGCACAGCATTTCTCTGTGGAGGGCGCCTGTAGGAAAGTGCCTTTTTTGCCTAATGGTAAATTCGGCCCTGCAACCAGCAATCATCTTTAGTTGTCCTAGTTGTACTAAGCTTATGAAAGGTAAAATATGTAATTTCCTGAATCTACAGGTAAACCGGTGCCCTTTCCGGGAGGGGGAGGTGACGGTGGTGGGGTGTGTGGCCTCTGCATCATTTCCCCACTCAGCTGGGTGGGAAGAAAGCTAGAGCGTCCAACTCAGCCCCTGGCAACCAGTGACTTCACTGGTTGCCAGGAGCTGAGCAGGATACCAGCCAGAGTATCCCAGGTTGCTAAGAGCCCGGCTCTTAGCAGCCTGGGGCACTCTGACCAGAAAGAGGGCAGCAGGCACACTGTAAACATTTTGCAACAGCCTCAGGCTGTCTCATTATAGGGACTGTCTATGTAGCACAACGCCACAGGTTCACACTAATGGTGGTCCTCCCAACTGCAATTGTTTGCACTCTAGTCTTCATGCTACACTGCCAAGTACTTGATGGCATGATAGGTAAGCCCAAATATAATTATTTAGGTTTCTCACACAGTTATTAATACTTGCCTCTGTTTTAGTAATAGTAATTGTCCATTAAAGAACAATAGCACTTGGCAGTGGTTTTGAGGAAATCGCTTGGCAGGCTCCATAACTGACCTATTAATATAATAACAGGCTACGGGATCCTTTTTTTCTTTTTACATCTACCTCTATTCTCTTTGTATCCATTTGCTGCTGTTTATTTGCTACTGACGCTATCCTGTTTAGTAGCTTTGATTATATACTTTAACAGTTGTCAAAGTGCGTGAGGCGCCTGTAAACCAAGCGTTCCCACTTGAGGGACCACCTGTGCATAGTCACATTTCTCCAACGCGGCTCACTTTCCTACAGGGTGTGGTTGTCATGTTGGATATCAATTTTATTTACACCTAACATACTGAAAGAAAATTATCACCAGTAAGAGAGAATCAGTGAGTCAGTTTCCTAATCTGTCAGGGTGGAGTCAGATATTAGCCTCATTTTATTTTGGGTTGACTACATTCTCACGACTTAGAGATACAGATTAATACAGAGCCTGTGTTGTTCAGCTGCCACATGTGAGGTGTCCCACTGGTAAGTATATTTAGAAGTTCTATTGCTGGCTCGAGCCATATCTTACACAGGGCTATGGACGCTACCTATGTGACAGCTCTGGTGCTTGGGGACCAGTGTGGTCTCAAATATTATTTGTACAAATGGTTTCACCATGAACAATGTTCTTATAGCTATCTGATATAGGAGCTCAAGGAGGAACTTTGATCGTAGACAAACGCATGCATTAACAGCATAAGTACAAACAATATGATGATCATTACGGTTAATGTGCAAAATGTTGCCATGGACATTAGGGCTTTTGCTTGATTTAAAATGATTTTATGATGTTGGTTCTGTATATGTACTGTATATATGTTCTGTAATATAATAAACTAAAAGCAATGTACAAGTTATGTATCAGGATTATTGGTGGGGTATCTAATCTCTAATTGATGACAGAGATGTCTAACCAGTGAAAAACTTTTTCTTGGATCCAATAACTGATGTTTTTTATTGCTTTTGTATTATTTATATGAATTCCTTCTTTTTACAAATACACATTTAATACAGAGTACACCAAAATGTGACTGGTGTCACAGGACAGAAGCTGTGTGAGTTAGATAAGGGACTGCTCTGACTAGCTATTGAGTTCTGTAAACAAGTTTTTGTTTTTTGGGGGTTTTTGTTAGTGGAACAATTAGGGATAGCCTCAAAAACCATGTAAATCCTTGTAAGCTGTCACGAGCTGGGTCCTTCTAACTCTTTTGTATTTATTATATTATTGGAATGTGTATGTTTCAGTGAGGTTTTGTTTGTCTAGAGTGCACAGGGACTTGGGGAAAGAGGAGGAAAGTAGATTCGCTGTCAGTACTGGGCATCTAGGTGTCCCCCAGGGAAAATAAGTTGATTATATTAGTGTCAAGTTCTCTAAACTGCAAGATTGGCAGTTAAGTATATCATCTCCAAACCTGATAATAAATCAGTTTTAAAAGGTTGAAATATTGAATGCAAGGTTTGCTAAATTCGTCCAGGGAAATCAGACTTCTAAACAGATCTTTAAATGTATGATTGAGGTAATCATCTTTGTTATACATGCATTTATCTACTACAATTATACATTTCCCCTTCTTTTTATATGCACTAAAGTTTTCTTTGGCTTTGTATTGGCAGGGCATTGCTGGAAGCAGAAAGCAAAAAGGGAGAAGTAATCATTACAGAACACACTGTCAGAGACAGGCCTGCAGGTGAGAAAAATGTTATAGATGCATAATGGTGAATGCATATATCTACTGCTAGCAAGCAGTAGATATATGCAAAAACTTGAAAAAAAAAACCAACCTTTCAAACAGATTTAAACTTACCTGTGTCTTCACCGCACGCTCCCGTCCGAAAATCTGAAAAATCTCGGGCGCCGCAAAGGATCTTGGGGCGGGCGCATGCGCAGTTCAGATTTTCGGCCGGGAGACGAGGAGAGACACAAGGTAAGTCTATGGACGGCACCCGCATGCAGACACCGTGGGACCGGAAGTAACAGCAAGCACAGAGGAATCAGCGCTGGATCGGAGACCCGCAGCAGCGATGGAGGGACAGATGAAAGCTATAGGAAAGAAAAAGAAGATCGGATTAAGAGACATCATTTAAGGTAAGTGCTGACACTAACTTTGGGGGAGGTAAAAAAAATGTATACTTTAATGTCACTTTAACACAAAGCTATGTTAGCAGTCTTACTGGAACATTATAACAAAATAAAATAAGAGTAAAAGTCACTTCTTCAGGAAATCTTCAAGAAAATATGGGCATTTACTTAATATAAAGTGTACAAGGTTATCTGCTAGATTAAAGGGTAACTCCACTTTAAAAAAAAAAAGTAGCCACCACTGCAAGCTCACTCCCATGATGGACTATACCTTCAATGCAAATTAGTATACTAAACATGAGATTGTAGTCCATCACGGGAGCGAGCTTGGAGCTGTGGCTACTTTACAACACACACTGGGACCATGGGGAACAAAAGTAGCCACCAGAAGGAAGAAGAGTGGCAGCACCAATTCAGAGATGATTTGAGGACAGCCGAGTGATACACAAATAAGATACATTTTTGTTAATAGTTCAGGTACTTGAATGCATTTTTAAGATTTAACTCCTGAGTTTAGTGTCACTTTAAATCACTCTGTATAACACAGCATCCATTACACAGTGAATTGTTATCTACCAGCTAAAACCAAATACATAGGTTGGTGTTTGGTTAGATGTTTACACAAATCTCAGACAGCAATTAGAAAAATTGAAAAAGAAAATACAGCAAACAAGAAAAAAAGAAACCTAGACATATAGTAATAATATTTTATTCGTTCTAGGGTATGTGACATCAACATTGGAAGAAACCACAAGATTTTCTAACAGAGGACGAGAGAAATTTGAATATCCGACTACTAAAAGCAAAGACGAGATACAATGGAAAGCACAGACAGCTGATTCCAGGAGATTCCTAACTCGGACTGTACCACAAACACAGATTGCTCCAAGATATACACATTTAGGAAACACAAGCAGTTCCTATGGCTCACGTAGTCATGAAACTTTATCTCAAGAAAGATGTGGCAGGTGGGACACAAGCTTCTCCACAAAATATGACTCTTCACGTAAGTCAGGAGGACACCAGACAGTACAACCAATTGCTGTGTCACCATACGCATCCACAGAAACAATAATTAGTCAAACAAAACAACAAGAGCAAATGAAAGATCAGAGGCCAGTAGCTCGCCCAAGATCTCATTCTAAAGAGACTAGAAGAGGCCAGGTTGACATTATGGTGGAAAATAAGCAACAGGAATCTGATTCTCAAAATGTTTTTGCAACTGAAGTTGGTAAAGACAGAAAATCAGAATCACAATCTGTAAGAGAAGCAAAGCAAGTTATAGAGGACAATGTAACAATGACTGCAAATGAAAACAGAAAAAAATATGATGAAACAGTAAGTGTAACAGAAACAGTGCAGAAAGAAACAATTCAAGAGCCTAAAACACAAGAGCTGCCGGTCAAAAAGGAAAGGAAGAAAAAAGAACTAGCCAAAAAAAGAAAAGAAGAGATGGAGAATGTTGCAGTAGGTGACATGAACGTGACAGGTTTATCAGCGGAGGTATACGAAACCACCCAGGTGAAGAAAACAACTGTCCTTGGTGAGAAAGCAAATGATCAGCCAATTGTCTATGAAATACCAATACAATTTGAGAAAAGAAAACAAGAAGGCAATGAAGAATACAAAGCAAGAAATGTTAGTCAAACATATGTGAATCAAGAAACTATTTCTCAAAGGAATACCATGGAATCTGGCAAAACTAATCACGAATTTGGAAAGGAAACTATATTGGTTGATGAATATCTTAAACAGTTAGGGCAGTCTTCTGTCTTTAATAAGAATGAGACTAATATCTTAGAAGAAAAAAATCAGGACAGCAGATTTATGAGAACTTTTGTTTTTGGAGAAAAGTCAGGCGATAAGAAAGTTGTCATGGAAATACCAATACAACTTGAAGAGAACAAAAAAGAAACTAGTTCATACAAAGAAAATGTTGAGAATTCAGCAAAAAGCAGAGTTTCAGAAAATGTAAATAAAATTAATATTAGTAAGGAAGAAAGTCTTGAAGTTGATATGGAAAATTTACATCAAGATTTTGAAACCAATGAGTTTAGCAGAGCAGAGGAATCTTCAAGCACTTCATCAGATACCATTGAGAAGAAAGCCTTAGTAACCGATATCCTTAAACAATTAGGTCATCCTTCTGACTTGGATGATGCTAATGTTTCCTATTCAGAACGAAAAGAAAAGTACAGTGATGGATCTGTGAAAACAGAAATATTGGTAGAATCTAAGATAGAGGAAGAGATGGATTTGTTTGATGAGCCTGACTTAACAGATTTGTGGACCACAACATCATTTTCCTCATCTAAGAAGAGTGAGGCAGCTACTACTCCAGTTGAAGAAATTCAGAGCAGGAAAATTAAGAAAACAATCCTGGAAGACATTTCAGGAGCAGAAGCAGAAGAATGGATAGGAAATGTCATTCGCACAGGACTAAAGGGGTCTCCAGGAAAATCTGTTAATGTTGAGATAGTTGAGGAATCCATTGGCACATTTACCTATGAAAAAGGAGAGTACTCTACACCATTCCATGTAGAAGAAGCAGAGGATAATTATAATAAAGAAGAATCAGTAAATACTGAAGAAATGCCTGTGTCTGTAGGAACAGATCAAATACATGATAACATTCAACCCAGTGAAAGTCCAGCACAAGTCGAAGAAATAACAGAGGGTGAACATGTCGATGAAGAAATCGATTACTTTGTTTCTATTCCAGATGAAAGTCCACGTGTACAGGAGGAGGAAGAGGAGACTATACGTGGACAGATTCACACCGAGGAAGAATCCCATGTTACGTATTCTTGGCAGGATGAATTCTTACAAGGTTCTCAAGGTCGTAAAGGTTTGAGTGAGATGTTAAAACAAGCTGCAGCCACTGAACAAAGTTCAATGAACTACAGAAACACAGCAGATTACAGTGACACAGTAGACAAGGAAGAACAAAAAGAAACATCTCATGTGGAAACTGTTGTGATTGAGAAAACAAACACCTATGGGTCCTTAGTGGACAGAGATGGTGACTTGCAAACGCAACAACAAAACAAAGACACACATGTTGAAATTATCGGGATTGCAAAAGCAGCCACCTATGGGTTATCAGTGGATCGTAATGATAGCTTTGACATGAAAAAACAAGAAGGAGAATTACATGTGAAAACCATTGGGATTGAGAAAGCAGACAGCTATGGGACCTCAGTGGACAGCAGTGTAAGATTTAACACTAAGGGACACAAAGGAGAGTCCCATGTTGAAACTGTTGTAATTGAGAAAACAATTAAAGCTTCTCCAGAAATCCAGTCAACATTAATCCATCTTCTTTCTAAAGACATCACAGATCCCCAGCAAAAATTAAGAGGGGCACTAGACTGCCTGCAAGGAAGCCTTCCTGATGAGCTAATTGAAGAGCTGTCAACACTTGCCGGGGAAGATCAAACACAAACCAGCAGTTTGGCAGTGAATATTAAAAAGCTTGGTCAAACAGACGAAAGTGGAACTATGACTATAGTGGCAGAAATCAATATATCTAAAACTTTAGACACAGATAACCTAGATGATCTAGAACTGAATACAAGAATTGAAAGCGAAGAGAGTACTATACCTAAATCCCAAACAAGGTCCTCTGAAGATGCACTGCAAAAAGAAGGGATCACTGCTGTATTTGGAGACAAAACTTATGGAAATGAGGACTTTTACAATTCTGTTACAGTGGGAATTAATAATAGAGAAGAGAGTTATACATCCGAAGAAAATGTTGCAAAAAGCCCAACCTCTACAAAAGCCTCTTTTGGGCAAATTACCACTGATGTTGGCAGATTCATAAAACATATAGAGCTTGATACCAAAAAGCACATGTTTCAAGAGGATTTTGCAAGTGCTCAGGATTCAGCAGCCAGCCTTTCTCCAACAGACACAAACAGGTCTGAGCATCATATTAAACTTGCACCCACGGAACCATTGTATAACAAACAAATTATCTTTGAGGGCCCTATCTCTGAAACCCTTAAACTTGACATTGTGAAAAATACAGAAGAAACATCAGAACAGAACCGATCCATAAGGCACATAAAAATAAGTCCAACCGAAACTGTTCCCACAGAGCAGATCATATTTCAGGGTCCTTTATTTAAAACTGTAGGTATGGGAGCCACAGGAGAATTATCAGTTCATGAAAAAAATGTGGAGCATGTTAGTCAGGCAACTAAAAGCCTAGTTTTCGAGAGATTCCAAGTTGGTAGTCAGGAAACTACAAGTCATAGCACTGACTTTACTGCAGGTACAAGCAAGATAGTTTCACATTTTAAGGTAAACTCAGGTGAGTCCCTCAGTAAACAAATTATGTTTGAGGGCAGCATTCCCAAAACCCATGACTTCAGCAGACCTAGCATATTAAATATCGATAATTCAGAGGAGGACAGTCGACCAATTGAACATAGCTCTGCTACTCAGAAAATTCATGTAGCAAAACAAGTTAAGTATCAAGGTTTTGTTTCTCAACATCATGCAGTAGAAGATTATGGCAACAATGCAGAGCAAAATGATCAGGGTAAGATCAACACTTCTGTCCACCACATAAAACTGAGTCCAAGTAAAGAACATATTGTTCTTGAAGGTCCCATCTCTGCAAATTTCAATATTACTGGAGAAGACAAAACATATGTAGAAGATACAGACAGGCCTATTAGACACATTCGTCTTGGCTCTCCAAAAGGACAAATATCAGAACATGTAACCTTTGAAGGACCAACTACAGAATCTTATGAATCTTCTGACTTTTTTGTTTCTTCACCATCTGGTGATTCCACTGAGAGTGAACGATCAATCAAGCATATAAGACTGGGTCCAAAAGAGAAAACATTCACTTTTCAAATGGACATAACCAAAATTGCCACAAAGCATTCAGAAGAAAAAGGAGCTGAGGATAGTGGAATGGTGATTACTTCCAGTAAGTTTGAAGGTCAGCCAGAATTTAGTCAGTCAAGTACTGAATTAATGGATGATCTAGAGGTGGCAGAAAGTGGATATGGTGAGGAAGAGATTGCTGGCGTCTCTCAGTATGCTTATGAAATCGTGCCGCAGAGCCAGAACATCACTGAAACATCACAGCTTGAAAAAACTGTTCAAATACAAAGAATACTACATCAGAGTCACATTGTCTCTGATGAGAAAAAAGTGGCCATTGTTTATCTTGATGAAGAAGAAGAAGAGGAGGAAGAAGAAGAGGAAGCAGATCAGGATTATCTAAGGCGCTCATTCTGAAATCCCTTATAATATTTAAGCAAACAAAAAAGTGTATATAAAAAAAATATTCTCTCCAGCATTATAGCACAGCTACACAAGGCATGGCCCAGTGGCAAGAATGTTTAAACATTTATGTCAATTAGGAATTGTTGTAATGCACTGAAATGTTGTTTTCTAAAGAATTTAAGCAAATCTTATAGAGTACTGCATTTATCTCACACCTATTGCACCAATTTACACTGAAATGGTAATTCCGCTTTCTCACCAAATGTGAGAAAATGAAACTACTCACACAAATCTGCCCCCTTTCCCCACCCTGCTAGTTATACCTTTGCTGGAACCGGCAATCCCCCGCCAGTGTGCGGTCCTTATTGCAGCCCTGCACTGAGCATATAGAATAATGCTCGCATATGGTGATCATACCCTGGCTGCCACAGGGATTGGGAAAGGATGGGGTTCCAACAAAGGTAATAACAGCAAGTGTGGGGAGAGGGGGCAGGTTTGTGTGAGTTATTTCATTTCCTTACATTTGGTTGGACAGTGGAATTACCCTTTAAAGAACACCTCTACTATGAGAACTATGAAGGCTGTCCTCTCCTTGCGCTACATTAGATGTGTGTTTGTCAGGCTGATCCAAAGACAAATATTTTTGAGCTGCTAGCCCAGAGAAAGTATGCATATCAGTCCTGACTTCACTTGGTGTATGCTTGTTTAGGTCAATGACTCCAGAGCAATGGCAGCCTACATATTCCTCTCACTACATGGTTCCTTTAAATCCAGAATAGAAAAATATAAATTGGTAGGTATTTAAAATGTTATGCCAGAATGCAATTGTAATTTAGAATAAACATTAACTCACAGATACCACTAGTTCACTCACTTCTACAAAGACGAATTTGGGCTCAGCCCAGTCACATATGATGATTGTTTACACTATGTACATGCTTCATATGGTGACAATGTAAAACTGAGACAACTGTAAGACATCTCTGACTACCCACATCAATATCTTTAGAATGTAGGAATAGCGATGTGCCGGGGTGTACGTGGATGTGTCTTTATGATAGGCACATAAAAGCGAAAAGAACTTTCATTTTAATAACACTTTTCAATGTTTGTATTGTGCTTGCTGTTCACATTATTATTTTTTAATAGGTTTATATGTGCACTGCTTCATCCTGTGTATCTGAATGCTGAATTCTTGTGCCCGGTGTGTTTCTTCTTGTGCTGCAGTAATGTGTTCAGCTAGCTTTGATGCGTAATGGAGTCGTTCAGGAAATAAACACCATAGGATTTTAGTTCATGTGAAAGAGTGGTTTAGCAGTGGAATGTTCTTGCCAAGCTTAGCTACAACAAACATTCAGCTGGTAAGTGAAAAAAACCAGATCAAGCATTCACTGTCAAAGAGAAGTGACAGGCGATTTCCCAAAAGTTAAGCCATGGGTAGAATATTGTTTTGGGAACAATGGGTTTTTCCACTTCGCAAAACAGTGTTCTGCGTTGACACACCAGTGATTCCAATTTCACAAGAGGTATCTTTTATCTCACAAAATGCTCCATGTAACATTTAAAGAGAATGTATCTGATGTAACAAAGCGTGTTTTGGAAGACTCGTCATTATTTCCTCGCTGTCATTACGCTCAAACTTTTACTGCAAGAAAACACAGTTGGTGTCTGGTATTGGTGAGCCTGGTAGAAATTTTTTTTGGACTTGACACTAGTCCCAGATGTGCATAGTAGAAGCACAGTTTTTGTTGAACACTGCATTTTGAAAAATAAAGCATTGTCATGTCATATAGAAACCTCTGAATATTACATGTCAAGTTTTTAGCGGTGCTTTGAAGTGCACTAGTATGAAGAGTAGCATTGTGTAATGGGATGCTGGCCATACACCATGCAAATTCATCAAGAACCGGCTGAAATTTGCACATTGGGTACTGCTGTCAGCACTCTTTTGGCCAGCATCCCTCGATCAGCTGATTGAAGGAGCCGGTTGGAAAATCTTCGAACGAACAGAGGCAGCAGTCAATCATTGGCTGCCGTCAGAATACAATGAAGACAGCGGGAGATTCCTCGATCAAAGTTCTTAAGCGTTGATGGAGGAATCTGGTATATTTTCTTACATCAGCCTGCGGGTTGAATGAAAAAAATATTACAGTGTATGAGAAGCTTAGCTGACCCATGTACCTTCACTCACACATACATTAGAAACCTCTACAATGCTTATGGCCTGATCATGAGTGGTGTTTGTTGGAAGTAGTTCTGTCCAAGAACTGGTCGTAATTCGCTGTGTGTATAACCTACCGAAACCTGTGCTTTTTGAAAAAACAGCAGAACTGTCTACAGATGTGATAGCAAGCAGTTAGAGCACATTTCAGCAGTAAGGCTTCAGAGTGCACAGGAGCCACAAAAACCAGTGTGCCCCTATATGCTAGCTACCTTAAATATTAAGTCTGGGGTCTCTGACCAGCCTAGTCCTGCTTCCACTACACCACAATGCTGGTCATTTAGCCTGATCGTCACGTTAAGGCCTCATGCACATGGGAATTAAAAAACATGCTTCCAGGTACATTTGGGGCCAATTTATAAATGCACCTGGAAGCGTGTAATGTTTTGCTGTGGCTGAATGCACACCAGGACACACAGCAACGTTTAGGTGCCTTCTGTCTTGCTTCATTTACACAAATAAGAATATACTGTGTCCCAGGACCATTTAACTTGGTTTTACATGGATGGAAACGCAGCTAAACCCAGGAACATCTAAATGTGATTTGGGAAGCATAAAAGTTGTATAATCCCCAGATAACTTCTCCTGTGTTTAATGTTAGAGGCCCGTGTGCATGGGGCCTAAGGAACCAATAGTGAGCAGCAGGTGACAGGCAGAGTTGCTGCATCAGCTAAAGTCAATATTATCATCTACAAGCATGCCGCATTTTGGAGTTCTCAGGGTTTTCTGGAGCTTAACTGCTGGAGCATGCAGGCATCTCTAAGTCCCAATTATCATTTTCTGTAGACAGTTTCAATGCTGTTTCCTGAGCACAGTTTTAAGACATGTTAATTGACTTGCTTGATTAACACAGTGTATGTCACTATAAATAAATGAACCTGAGGAATGAAGTTCGTGCTGATGCAAGGTCATAAAGTACATCAACAATGCAGATCCTAAACACAGCTTGTCTGTGACATTTATGGTAAGGTCAAAAGACTGTCTACTTAACATTGCAGGTATTATATATATGCATAGCTCAATATAGACCTCCAGACATAAACAAGGCAATTCACAAGGGAGCAGTTAGTAAAATGAATGCACTAGTAGCTGCTGAAAGACTCTAACCAATTAGTGATTTGCTTTTATTTTATAATGGGCGCACTAAAAATAAAGGCCACGTGTAAATAATCATTTAACCACCAATAGACTTCATACATTTTGATGGCAGATTAGGAGATCTATTGAACAGGAAAATGCAATGTAACAAGGACTAGCTACAATATTTAATTTTGTTTTGAAATGTGAACTCTTAAATTGGCCAAACACTATGCGAATTTTGTCTGGTTCTTGATGAAGCGGACGAAATTTGCACAGTGGGTGCCGAGGTTGGCAACCTTTTGGCTGGCATCCCTCAATCAGCTGATCGTAGACGCCGGTCGGAACATTTTCAAACGAACAGAGGCGGCAGCCAATGAGCTGCCAACTCTGTTTGGGTATTCTGACAGTGGCCAGTGGTGTTGTATTGTAAAATGCAGACAACGGTGGGTAGTATCTTACGATCAGCATGTATCTGTTGGTACAATAAAATATTAGCCTGTGCATGAAAATGGGAAACTGGAGGATAGGTATGATAAGGAGACAGGAGTAAAAAAAAAACTCCTAGGATTGGTTATGTAGGCGCCTGCGAAGAGTATTATTGGGTTGTGTCCATATGTATTCATGTGTTGTTGCTGATGGCCACTTGCATGAAAAGCTGCTACCTTCTGTAGAGTGTCAGGATGCTTATCTCTGCCAAGGGATTATAAGTGTTGAAGATTAATCAAAGGATGTTGTTTAACCTGACCCAAGAAAGTAGAATGCCAAGTTGAGACTTTCTTGAACTGCTATTAACCTATGTTGTGATTCTTTAGTCACTTCATCAAAATGGTAGGTAGCAGCGTGCTCATAGGCATCAGCACTCTTTATCAAGTACTACTTTCATTCATTTAAATTAATTTTGTATGAAACAATTTGATTCCCTTTGTTTCTATTTCACTTGTGCTTCACGATTACATTACATTGAAGTACTTGAGGGAAACAACTTTCATTTATTGTCAAGTGAATGAACTGGATCAGAAAAGCACTGGCAAAGATAGTTTCCACCATACTGGAAATATAACTGGTCTGATAGTGTTCATATAGTGTGAGCTTATTGCACATGATGTAACTAAAAGAGTTTTTGCTTATTTTATTCCACAGATTTTATTTGTGTTAGGAAAATTCCCATACTCAAAAAATGCACAGATGATATATTTTGCTTTTTTCTGTTTTCACCTTGCTTACAATGTTGATTTTGAAAGGCAGTGCGATGTAAAATGTATGATGTAAAGCACATTTATCACTTATCTTGTTTTTGTTGTATCTGGTCTTAAAGAAAAACTCCAGGAATTAGTGTTTATATTAAACTGTTCCCTTAATAAAATCCTACCGAACAAAATTAGTGAAATAAGCCTCTTCCTATAGGTGTCCCCCTCCTCTTCTGCACATCACTGCAAGCAGGTGGGAGCCATACAATATTACATTAAACCTACAAGTGTGTTTCCCTACAAATGTGAATCTCCTTTTCTTTGGCACTTTTTAATGGCACTGTGCATACAGCAGGTGTATAAAAAACATACCCTAGGATTCTGAAATCTCTACAACTGATTTTCCCAGAGAGGGGCTATAACTTGTGTGTCATTGCCTAAATATTCTGCTTGCCAGGTTTGCTTGTCAGGCAAATCTCAGCAGACAGTAAATGTTCACTGCTTTTGTTGGTGAAGTTGGAGTTATTCTTCATTCTAGAGAATGAATTGTCTACAGTGATAAATGTTCAGATTATTCTTATTGTCATGGAGGTGGCGGGGGTTATTCACAGTCACCTATAATTTTATGCATTTTTTTAATGTCTGTATAGCCACAATTGACAGCTCATATGGCGATGAGTATAATTTAACATTTTGACCGGGTACAATGAATACTAACAAACCCTTTACAAGAAAACAAGAAAGG